TTTAAAAGCACAACAGACACAGCAAATTCGAGGAGGGGGGGAACTCAACCCCAGGCTTGCTGGGACAGCCAGGTCTTCACGGCCGTCCAGAAGGCCTCAAGGGGGGAGAGGGTCTGAATCTCCATGGGGAGCTCGTTCCAAAGGGCCGGGGCCGCCACAGAGAAGGCCCTCCTCTGCAGGAGGAGGAAGGGGGTTTATTCATATATTATCTGATTGTCTTTGTCTTACTTTTTGTAATTTCCCCTCCCTTGGCTTTGTTCAGCCGCCCTGAGTCCCTTCGGGGAATAGGGCAGCCTACAAATTGAATAAACTCCAAACTCCAAACTCCATAGTTTAATAAATTTATATAGTACCTGTGGGCCATATCTTAGAAACTGTGGGCCATATCTTCCTGGAAGGTGGCAGACAACTTTGCCACAAAGGTTCTTTATTTGTGAGGTGGCACTTCAAAGGGATGTAGCATATCATCTAATTCTTTAACCTTTATCTTACTGACTGGCTCATAAAACATATTTTTTCCTCACAACTTCATTGGAGTAGCTGGACAAACCCATGCAATTCTGATATATCTTATTCCTAAATCAAAATTTACTCAAATTCCTCCTACTGCCTCTAGACTATAAAACACCTGGAAATCACAAAACAAGAACGATTATAAAGGGCAAGATATTGTATGATTACAGCCCCTGCTCTTATTTCCTTAGCAAAAGTAGTGGGGCTTCTAAGCTCTGACTGAGAAAACAATGCCCTCCTTCAGCCTAACAGATAGCACTGCAGCTGCTGCCCACCATTCTGTTTTTTGACTGATGGTGAGGGAGGGCAATGCTCTTCTTGGCAACCACATTTAATTATGGAAGGGTTTTGTTCACATCTATTCTTTGCCATACTTTTGTCACCTTCACTATTGTCTTCCCTGAAGTCTAATTTATGTACAGGCTAAACTCCTTGGAGATAAGCATTGTTTTGTTTGCTTATTTATGAAACTCAGAAAACCCGCCTCCACTCTCAATATACCAGAGAAGCATCCATTACAGGGAGAGTTAATGCCCTGAGTTGTACACAGGCGTGAAGAAGAACTGTGGATGAAACCAGTGATAGGGAGGTAGAGCAGACTACCAAGCCTCCCACTTAAATGTAACACTTTGAGAGAGATTTTAAGCTTTCAAAAATGGCAGGTTTTGTTTCAGTAGGAAAACACCGACTTGCCCTCAGTAACCCTGAGTTTCCTTGCCACTGCCTGCCTGGCACCACGTTAGTCTCCTGGAACTATTTAGCTCCCCTTCTTACTTGGGTGACTTGAGGTCTCGGTGGATGATCTTATGGAGGTGCAGGTAGTTCATGCCACCAGCGATGCCCATGGACCAGTCCACCAACAGCGAGGGAGTGACTTTGCGTCCAGCCCGTAGCACCTCATAGAGTTGGCCCTGGGCACAGAATTCCATGATGATGCAGTAACAGGGAGCCTGGGTGCACACACCCCTGCAAGGAGTGAGAAAGGACAGAATAAGGATGGGCTAAAAAGGACCAGCAGGACACTTTACAGTGGCAGAGAAATAACACCAGCATGCTCTTTGAAGAGTTATTGTGGAATGATGATTTCTGGGGAGACAAAGAGTCAGGATTCTCTTCTGTCTTGCGCCCCAACAAGAAAGTTTAATATGTGAGAAGGGCTGTTGTTGTTCAGAGACAAGCCAAAAGTTATCCCTAATGCTATGAGGTACTTGTGGGAAATTACCCAAATTAGTCAGCATTCTGTGGTCCAGAACCTTTTTGTTTTGCAGTTGCAACAGTGAGTTGGGGATCCTTCTGCAGCTTTCATTATGGATTGAACCATTGAAAATATAAACATTCATTCACCTATTGTAGAGGGCATAGGGAATGTGCTTGAAGGACAGGACGAAGAGTCCCTAATAAGGTCATGGTCAGATAAGAGGGGCTTGAATCTGTCTTAAGAAACTTGAGAAAATGTCTTAGACAAGCCCCATCCTTACTTTATATGAAGATAAAGGGTGGAAGCAGACTTGCAGTAGTCTGATATTATAGTTGTTACAATAAAAGTAGTCCTGATTTAAAATCAGTTTGCTTCCTTTGTCTACCTTATAGGGTTGACATCTATATATGAATAGACTACTGGGATATGAAATATCATGACTAGATAGATACTCGTATCTATTCCATACTGGGTGACCACAAAGATATTTGGGACTACAATTCTTAGGAGAATCGGTTTGGCATAGTGGTTGAGGAATGAATGTAGAAATTGAGAGAATGTGAATTCTAGTTCTGCCTTAGGCACAAGGCCAGGTGGGTGAGCCAATCTCTCAGCCCCAGGAAGCAGGCAGTGGCACTTCATAAATCCAAAAGAAATCCTAAGTACTTGCTTAGGAAGTCACCAAGAATCAACGCTCTACTCAAAGGCAGACAGACAATCTTAGAAACACCTAGTAGTTAGGAAATATAAGAATTATAGCCCAATATATCTGGAAATAATTAGGTTCGTTTTAACAAGGTTAGAATTATGGGAATTGTAATTCCAACATTTGAAATAGCATTATTAATTTTAAGAAGTATTACTTTTCTGTTTTTTCCCCAGCGAAAATCAGCTAAGGTCACACTCAATTCCAAGAAATGTGGCAGAGCCAAAACGAAACCTAATTATGATGCAATGAGCATTACAATTCAATTTACATTTGTTCATTATAGTTAATATGATTACTTTATCAGTATCCAATAATCTCCTCCTGCCATGTGAAAAACTACAAAGGAGAGGCTGACTAAAGCACCCAAGATTTTGTCTCACAAATTGTCCTGATTTAAAGAAAAACCAGGGCCGATACTGGGAAGTTGTGGTTTCAGAAAAGAAAGTATAGCAGTGACAGTGAGCCTATGACATGTGTGTCAAAGATAACATGCCATGACATTTTGGATGTCAGCGTTCCCCAACACCTGACAAGTATTTTCAAAAACATGCCCCATCCCTGTGCAATTTTTGGAGGCTGCAGAGGCTGCACAAGAATGAAGGGTGTTGTCATGTGGCCTCCAGACCCTCTGGGATTTGTGCAAAAGGGCCATGTTCTCGCATGGCCTGTGTTGTGTATTGAAGAAAGTCCTCGCTGTTACGAATGACAGCTCGGAAGCAGCCAGGTGCGTCTTAGCCAATCAGACGT